CCAAAGAAGAAGTAATATTATGCGAGCCGATGAAGTGAGTATCGCAGTTGTACCCCAGATATTATGCATAGTAAAGTGAAGCAATGAGATATTTAATTCCTTTGACCTGTAGAACTCTACCGCAACTCTGCCCACATGTGATTAACGCCCATGACTTTATATATATCCAGACTTATAATCAAATTAAGATGTAAATGCCTCATAATAAACATCTCGAATATGAAACGGTTGGATGCATCATACAAAAATCAATAAAAGCAAATTTTACGCTGGTAATATAGAGTTATTTATCGAATTAAGAGCAATAATTTGATGAAATGTAGATCATTAATTGTTATCATTTATACTATAATAATTTATAAAATTTTCTGCAATAATAAATTTTAAACATATAATTATTTATAATAAATTGTATTAATAATAGAATTAATTTATACTGTTTTCAATTTAATCGATTTAATTGAATTGGTATTGAGTAAATTAATAATTTATGAAAGTTTACATAATATATTATATAAAACTTTATAATTGTATTGTAACAAAGTCATTTATTATAATGAAATTACAATAATAATTTATTATAAATACGTGTAATATTGAATTGTCTTTAAAGATTAAAAAATTATAAAAATTTATTTTTCAAACAATTGTAATTTTGGTAATACTATAGAATTAATAATATTATGTAGTTATATATTGAAAAAAGATCACTGTCTATGTAGAATACATTATCATTTTCTATAAAATTTATATGAAATTTATTATTATATAGTTGTATATAGTTTTATGTATTTTATATAAATATTATTGGTATACATATTTCTATCTAAATCACCATCTAAATTTATATTAATGTTTTTACTTTCACTTATAGATGCGTATATGCACATTATACATCATAAAATATTTTGAGTAGGATAACAAATTTATGGGTCTTTATAACAAAGATACAACAATTCTAATTCATTATACAATTTGCTCTTTTCGGTAAATTTGAGTAAAAAAATGTTGACTAACATTTTCAATATGCTTGATTGACAGATTAGTTCTATTAATAGAATTTTCTCCTTTTGTACAACCTCTGTGTAAGTATAATTTCCGCTTGATTAGCTAAACAAAAACATTATCGCATAACTAATTTATTATTTAATTTAATGATGAACCGACTAGTTAGAATAGTCTTAAGAGATATAAAATCGCGCTATTGCATTTTCTTGAATGAGGGACTTTAAGCATGAGTCACAACATGTGCGCATGGCGCTGATTGAAGATGTACAAGAATGGCGATGGGAAATGATGAGAATTATCGGATGACAAAGGGAAGGAAGTACAACAGCTAACATAGCATTAGCTCAACCTCCTGCAGCTGTCGCGTAAATTATTCGCGCGTGCATTATATACGGTAATGGGCGTTGAGAACGGATAAGCTCAGATGGACTTTCTTCATAAGGCTCGAGTCGTGGCCAGCATGCGTCTCCACGTTTATGAAAGTTTTTAAAGTAGTTTTTATAAAGTAATTTTGTATATAATTAAAGGAAAGTTACAGTTCAAGTTACAATTATATAATAAAAAAATTTACCAAAATATTAAGTGATATACATACTTATGAACATAATTAACATCCAAACATTAAAATGAAATATTAAATTCGATATTTATAAGAAGAATAAACTATATAAAATTATTAAAATGTCTCAAATATTATTTTAATTGGAAACGGTTATTTTTAAATACACACAACACATATGTTAACAAAAGCGCGTGCGCGCACATACACACATACATATATCTATCTATATATATATTGAACCCGTTAATGAGCCTTTAATTTCCGACTGATTTTTATTGACTAATTTTATTTTTTAAATTGAAATTTTGAATTGATTAAAGTAGTTTTTGATCGATATTTATTATACATTAAAATTTAAGTACATTTTATCAAAAACATTTAACATATAAATTATTCGATGTAAATCATAAAATTTAATAGTGTGCATATAAAATATATTAAAATTAATTGAAAGTCATTAAAATTGTAATTACATATGCATAAAGTTTTAATTCAATTAATTAATTTTCTCTTATTAATAGTAAAATTTTTAATAACAAATAATATTTTTACTACTTTCATATATTTTTTAATTAATTTATTCTAATTTCAAGCTATTAATGTATATTTAAAGTATTATTATTTTATTTATTTTATTGCGATATACAGCTATGTCTATTGATTTTTAATGTATTTAATTTTTTTATAAACATAATAATTTTATGTGACTCTATTATTGCTTCATAATAACTTATATTAATTTTTTTGAAAATTATTAAAAATGAAAGATCATCTTAAAATTAATAATTTACAATTACATAGTTAATAATAAAGGTTCATTAATATGTACAATATGTATATTCATAACTGCAATAAAAACTTCTATAATATGTTTTAAATTGTACTTTACTTAAAAAATATGAATTGATAAAGAATAAACTTTTTATTCGATACTAATAAATGTGCCATCATTAGTATTATATTTTAAATAAAGTTGAAATAAATTCGTAGATATATATATTGCTACATTGTGGAATAATTATTATGAACAGTCGTATCCAATGCAACAAACTTCTTTCTAAGGAATCACATCTATGTGAATCTATGTGCGCTAAAAATACAGTAAGCATACATCTCTTCCGGTCACTGACTAATGAATGATGCATATTAACACACCTGAAAAAATAAGCTAGTCGCATACGTCGTTTTAATTCAATCATTGTTGCCCTGCCCGTACTTTAACAATGAAAATCTTATTTGCTACGAACACGATATTAATTGTAGTTTTCTACATTTTGTCTATATTTATCTTAGAGAAAATATAGAAATGTCAGATTATAATGATGCCTGGAATTCATTTAATCTTATATTTTCTGCACACGTAATAAATATTTTTAAAATTAGTAACGGATGATTGTACGTGGAAAAATTCTTCGCCATAGATATGGTAAAATTTTAATCGTTGGTTTTTAAATTAAAAATGACTTTAAGTATAAGTTATAAATTTTGTACGAAACTATAGTTAAATAAAACATTTTATGTTTATATATGAAAACCAAATTAATGTAAAATTTCATTTAATTTATTTTAAATTTCTTCATTTAAATCTTATTTATATTTCGATTTGGTCTTCCATAAGATAATTTCAAATATATAATATTATAAATAAACATTAACGTATAAAAGAAACATTAAAATTTGTTTTCTATTATTTTATAAAAATATATTGATTCAGTTATTGAACAAGAACTATAAACCATTTTTCTACATATATATATAAGTGTACTCAAATATGTGATTAAGAAGTGATTACACATAAACAAATTAAGTATTATAAGCAATTTAAGGAATGCCAATTTATATTTCAACAATTAAAACTTTTATTGATAAAGTATATAAATTAATATAGAAATAATGAAACTGTAAGATTTTGTATAATATACAATATTAAAATTTTATACTAAATTTAAAATATTTTAACTTTCATAGTATTTTAAAATTTTGTCAACATTTTTTTGAATATTTAAATTTATTAGATAAAATACTATAAATAACTTAAATAACATAATTTTATTGTTAATTAAATACATATCAACACCATGTATGATCTTATAAATAGACAACTATCAATTCTCACCGATATATTAATTATGGAAATACTGGAAATATATTTATGTTATTTTAGTATGATATTGATATATTAACGTTCGAATCAACTTTAACATATATAGTTATTCTAGAAAAAACTTTTAGCTTAAATTATTATGTGATATATTTGCATGTATACTACGAGTAACTTTGATTTTAGTTACAAAGATAAGAATATACTACTGACTCTAATGTGTGATTATAAATTTATAATTAATTTATAAGTAGCTTTTAATGTGGAGCAATTAGTTAATTTCACTATTAATGATAAACCGATAATATTAATATCAGTTTAAAAGTGAATAAAATTTGAATGATACTTAATATCACTAAAAAGCAGTAAATAAGTAATTGTCTAAGAATATTCAGTAGTGAATTAAAATTTTAGACTATAGTTTTAAATAATATGTATACAACATTACTATAAAATCATTAATTTTATTAAAAATATATTAATTATTGACTACACTAGAATACTTTTAACATGGAAAAGTAATTTATTAGAAAAATCCGTCATGATATCGTCTATGCCTTACAGAATATTTTGATTGAGTCGTGTATATTCTTAAATATATTTTCGTAGTTCAATTTCAATTTCATACTTAGACGATGATTAATTCGCATGATTTCACGTACGCGTGAATAAATAGCAGAGAACTACGGCATGAAAACCCAGTTACGCGAGGACATCCTCCCACGTTCGGTTCGTTACCCAGCCGACAGATCTTAAAGCATCGATTATATCTCGCAAGTCTGTTTCTTTCTCTTTTCCGCCCTCCCGACTATTCTTTTTTCTTCGTCATTCCCATGAGTATGAGCATATTGTACATTTTATATGGTAAACGCCTTCACGCCCGCTTGTCTAGGGAGGAGGCACCTCTTTCTGGTTAGCCAAGGTTTCACTTTTCTTTCGTCATGGATCTTCATTTCAAACGATAATGCGCGGATATACTTTAAGGACGCTAATATGAGCTTTCTGTTCTATAAATGATCAAACGATTTATAGCTCATCGAACGAATGCTATATGAAGCATTTCAAGAGGAATATTGTTTGATATTTTTTAAAAGATTCATTTAAACATTATATTTAGCATTTTAAAGTTTATAAGAAAAACGTTCGTTTTGATATAATAGTATATAAACTTTTAATTATGAAAACAGTTAAGTTTCAAATCTAATTTAATAATCATAAATTTGACTAGTATAAAATTCATTGTTTTGTGAATCATATAAAAAAAACTTGATTAAACATAAAATGTTATAATAGAATGTTATATTAGAAAAAATCTGTAAAAATACGTACCCTGCAATAAAAATCCATGCAGCGCGAGGTTCATGGCTATGAAACAGTTGAATTATTTCTGAAACATTATTATGTATCATTAAATAAAATTCTATTTTAATAAAAGTATCAAATATATTCATTCAACTATAATTACATTTTTGTATAAATTAAAATTATTATACAATAGATTAATGAAAGGTATAGAATGTACCTTATACTGCATAATTGCTTATATAACGATTGAAAATATTTAATAAGATTTATTAAGATGTAATATTTATAAAGTATATATAAAGTATATATTAGTATATAAATTTATTACGAAGTTGATAGAAGTTTTAAAAAAATCTATGAACTTTTTAAATCATTTATTAATTAAACACATATACATCTTTTTATATACTCCTTACTCAATAATATGTAAAATTACGTCAAATACTAGAAATAATGTAATATATTTATTGTTTAATTGTAAGATTTTTTACCAAGCTTTATGTAAATTGTACCTAATAATGAACTCACAGTAAGTAGTAATATTCAGTCTATTGAGTCGTAAATTGATGGCATTTATTGGATATCTTCAAATTTGTTTTAAGAAAGTTTATACTTAATACAAATATTGATGAAAAAAAACTATCTTATACAGTAATTCCAAATATTGTTTCAACTTAATCATCTAAGTTCTTGTAATATTAAGTTAATTTATTATAAATATTGGAAATACTGTTCTGTAAATTTTTAGTGCAATTTCTAGTATAAATTTACCTAATATCGTTATGTAAATAATATGATATCTTGGTAATAAATTATTGGAATGCGTTTTCTACTAATATTTTACTTTTGAAATATTATCTTTATATTATATTAAATTCTCCTATTCGCAAAATATTTATAATAAATTATCATTAATAATTTCAGGTTTGATGATAATAGGATAAATTATCATTAATTTTCTGTAAAAGTTCAATTACATTTTCATACATTTAGAAACATTATTTTATTATAACACGTGTATATTCTATACTTTGAAATACTTAAATCTATTTGAAGTAAATTTAATAATTCAATTATCATCTTAGAAACTTAAATACTACAAACGGAAACTTGAACCTTAAATTTTTGTTAAAAACTACAATGATAATAAAATAATTACTAGGCCGTTTAGTCCAATTTGTGTTTCTCGTAAATATAAGCTTTTAAAAAGAAATTTTTAAGAAAATCTTCAAAATGTACTAAAACTACATAATTGAACGATACCGGTATGCACATATGCTTGCATACGTCCATATTAAGGAACGCATAATCGCGCATCCAACAATCGAATAAAAAAATCGAACAACGATAAATAATATATATATATATATATATATAAACGAACGCACATATGCACACAAAAGTTTTAAATTCCATCCAACTTCGTATACCTGGATATAAATTTTTATGCTGTCTTTTTATTTCAACTGAAAGTATTTTCACCTTATGTAAACGCGCGAAGGCGCACATTTTCATGTGCATGCGTAAGTGTGCTTTCCCCGCCTCCTATCTTTTGATCAAAATACATTGGCCACGCCCGCGGATCAGCAGCCATTACTACTACTGTTAATACCAATGATCATACCAGGTTCAACTTATTTATATTTACCAATATTGTCTATTTATCTAGTCATTCATTGGAAAACATTCCACACAATTTAAAGACTTAACTATCGCGAGGTTTGATCATCCATTATTTAATTTCTTGTTTTCTTATATTTACGTACTAATTATTTAGAAAATTAATGATTAGAGTACAATCATTATAATTACATGAACAAAAATACCTGGCATTTATGAATATTGATAAATTAAAGTATGATCCTTTAAAAATTGTTTTTACATACGTTTAGAAAGGAATTTAGTACTATCTAATATAAAATTATACGTAAACAGTGGCTCAGTCATTCGAAATAAACTTGCGATTTCCGACAAAAACTATATATAGGATTCGTTCCATTAATATCTAATAATTGAGTGCATTTTTAAAGATCTATCTTAACAAGTTTTCATTTTACTTCCAATTTTAATGACAATGTTCAGAATTTATTTTGAAATGAATATTATTTATTTAACTAACAGAGTACTTTCTCTTTTTATATAATTATTTTTATTTTGAAAGATATTAAAAATAAATTTTAGAAAAAATGCAAGCAATTAAAACTATTTAAATTATTAATCATTTAATTTGGAGATATGGAGTTGAAAAAGATTGATGTTTTATTTTCTGTTAAATGCTAAATCAAGTCTTAAAAAAAATCTAGAAAAATCTACAAATGAAAATTTCATAATCCGCAAATAAAGATATTTTAAATATATATATATATTTTTTATATATTTTTATTTTTTTATTAATTTTTTTTTTTTAATTTTTTTATTTTTAATTTATTATTATTATTATATTATAATTATATAATTATATAATTATAAAATAATAACAAATTATTATTATTATAAAATTAAAAATTTTAATTTTAAAATTTTTAATTTTAAATATATATAAAGATATATCTAAATGTCAGTGTTTATCAATTTTTAAAATAATTCATATAAATTAAAAATGTACGTTAAATTTAAAAATAATAATTTACTGATTTAGAACTGTATTGTTAAAAAAAAATATTTAAATACTTTTTACTACTGAATTATTGATTATTCAAGGGGCATATCATTGATGTAATTTCTAAGTGCCCCTGCTAGTATAGCTTTCGCAATAAAAGGCTTAATCTTGAAGAATCGAAGGAAGGTGAGTCAAAGTTTCATCGATACCATTATAAATTATACCGAACGTAAATCGAGCAAATGCAATATCCTTGAATGCCCAGATATTGGATAGAAATCTAGACAGAATGTTGCACGTGCCTTGACTTGACAGGCAGCAAAGCGAGAAAGTGGCCCGCTCTCGTGTGATTGCCGTCGTTAACATCCGTTCGCGATATCATCGCAATCGATTTCGTTTGTGACCACGTCATACGCACACGAAACCCTGTATATATACGTATATAGATATAGAGCTATGAAAACAAAAGCGAAAGTTTTATCGAACTTCATAGTCGAACTGATCTATTTTCCATACGATGAGTGAAAAAGTATCGTTGCTAGATGATTTTATATAACATTAAAGTAGGGATAAATTATTGTTAAAATTACAGTATACATATGCATATGTGTTTTAACTTAGGGATTTAATTCATCGCATGAAATTTCCCATTATTCTGCATATATTTATCAAGGTTGAACAATGTAAATATCTTATTTGTAGAAATATTCTCTTACTAATCTCGATTAGAATTCATTTTTCTTGTAGGCCTTGTTGATACCAATTTAGCGTATGGTTCACAGATAAAAATAGTATCAATGAAATATTTATTTTATTAATTTATTAATTTATAATAAAAATTTATTAATTCTTATTTTTTTTGTAATTGTATTGATAAACTGCATATTTTATAAAATTCTTTCAAACATTAAAATTTCGATATTTCATATAGTCATCGAATAACGAAATTCTTTAATATAAATCATTTAGTATGTAAATATAATTTTCTATATAAACTGTTGTAGTTATATAAAATATTAAGAGACCAAATTCTTTAAAATTGAATATGATATATTTCTGTACACAAAATTATTAAAAAGTAAAGATAGCAAAATACATTATGTATACTTGTTAAATACAATTTATAATAATGATTATTTTAATTTTAATAAACATTTATTAAATCATCCATTATAATATTAATAATATTCATAAATAACAAATTAATAAATTATATATTTAATCTAATATTAATATTTTTGTAATTGATTTTAAAAGGAATTTTTCAAAAAATGATGAAATGTTTACTAAAACTAGGTAATCTATTACCATTAAACAGGGTTTAATAGTTCAAATTCTAATAAAATTTAATAAATTATGACATAAAGTCATTTTTGTACAAAAAATTATTATCACACCTAAATGACAGCCATGTTTTTATATTGTTTCAACCATGTTTAGATATTGTTTTTTATATTGTCTCGAGCTGTGTAATCATTAATAAATTATGTAAGATTACGTGCAGACAGATTGTTTATATTTATATATAATTTAATACAGAATACGCAGATTTCATCATATCAAAGTATAAGCATGCGATTATACAAAGTAAATTATCGACATTGGATATACTTGTTCGACAAATGCTCTTTAGTATAGTAATTTGTAATAACTTAGTTGAAATGTTCGATACCGAAGAAAATTTGTTTCTGTCGTTTTTTTTTGTATTTCATATTATATTTTACTGTGGTTATTGGCCATAACGTGGATTTTTCATTTTCAAATGAAAAAAAATTGTACTATTTTAATAAATTTTACATTATCTATTAAACGAATAAAATATATTTTATAATTATATTCAATGTTTAAATATTTTTTAAATGTTATTCTAGTTATAATAACCTTCTGAATTTCGTAAGTCCTAACTTGCATTTCTGAAATATAATAGCGACATTTGAATTTACCAAAATATTATTTTATTTAATAAATGGAGTTACAATAACTGTATGAAACAAGTTACCAGTTAATTTTCTTATTATTAATTATTTTTTACAGAAATAAAATTAAATTTGAAAAAAATTAAATTAAATAAAATTAAATAGAATTGTAGTAGATGCTTGCACTGTACATTTACTAATGATAGTTCAAATAATACAAAAATTGATGGAATATAAGAAAATGAATACTAGAAAAGATATTTGACATTTTTATTAAATTTTACTGAATGTGTATATATAAATTAAATATTTCGAATTTATGTCCCACTGTTGATTTTATAAACAATATACACTGTATGAAATAATTTCAATATTGAATGAATTTTCAAACGTACATTAGTCAAAATTTATATAATAAGAAAACCAGATACCAAAAATAATAATACATAATTCAAAATCAAATTATCAATATATTGAATTAAACAATTTAATTTAATGTCAACGTCAAAAGTAGTATTAAAATAATTATAATTACCACTATTGCACTTCAACTATAATTAAATAAAA